ATCTAAGACGGTTGACCAATATGGCCGCACCCGGATATTGAAGTAGAGCGGTAAATTCGAGTGGATTTATTACTATGAAAATTTAATTAGTCTAAAGCGAGCTGAGTTACATGTTTTTCAGCTTTTGGAACCGCGAGGATAGTCACAACATTTCATTCTATTAACTCACACATTTCAACCATTTTACGCGAATACTTGGGATCGCATGTGGTTTGAGACGGGTCACACTGAGAGAACTTTTATCGAAACAGTCTTAGATAAAATTGAACGTTTGACAGTAATTTTTTTCGGTTTCCACTTGCTGCCTTTATTTACAAAATTTACCTATATATTATATCTTGTGGGGTCTTTTGGAAATCTATAAGAATATATTGTTTTACAGAAAAATTATTTTAACAGTGCACATATCAGATAATGTAATAATATTAACAGATAATCACATATGAAAAGTAACTCCACAATTTTTTGCTTTGGAAAAACTACATAAAATACAGCTAACCATTTTTTAATTATATATATAGAAATATATTTATATAATATAATAATAGCCTCAATATAATTATAACAACCTCACGAGTCACGTAACCTCTTAACATGTGAAATAGTCTTCCATAGTTCCATGCTCGATCAACATCAAAAGCCAATCAAAAGCTTCTACTATAGCGCCGTTTGCGGTTAAACAGTGCGTTAGATGGTTGACTGGTGATGTCATTTCCGATTACAAATTTCTTACCCCACCATCGATATGCTCTCTCCAGTCCTCCATGTTACTGGGTGACTGAAGCGAGCGAAACGCCGCACGGGACTTCCGGCAGTTCCGGCAGTTCCGGCCGGTCGTCTCTGCTTCCGTTCGCGAAGCAGCCGTGTCTCTGAGTGTCTCGTTCCCTTTGGGTTCGCGAGCTCGCGGGGGAAACCAGGAAAACGCGTAGCCGAAGAGGCCCGTGACCGGTTCCGCGGGGAAGGAACGAACATTCGCGAGGAAGGAGCACGAGGCGGAAGGGCGCGCAATCCGGACTGCCCGTCGAAGCGCTCGAGCAGATTCATCGTCCCGTCTCGGTCAGCGGTGCGCGTGTGCGTGTCTCTTCGTCACTCGTCCGAAGGAGCGGCACGATGACGGACAATCGTGAGTAATCCGATAAAGTTACACTTGCGATTTACGGGAGGAGGAGACGCTTTGCCGCGGATGGCGACGAGCCATCCCGAGGCGGCGCCTCCACTCGTCATCGTGGACCCGTGCCGGAGCAAAGAGAGAGAGAGAGAGAGAGAGATACGGGCCAGCGTCGCTTTGATCGACGTCGTCTCGTCGATCACGGGGCGAAAATGGCGATTGGCGGAGGCGTCGAACGCACCCGAGTATTAACGCCGTAGTAAAATTTTGGGTCGGGAAAACCGCTGAAATTTTTCGGACTCGGAGATGAGCGAAAATATCGTTGTTAGACATGTGGAGATCATTCCCGGACGGATAAATTTACACATACATGAAATTACTTGAACACACACACACACACACACACACACACACACACACACATACATGTGTGTATATATATATATATTTATTTATATATGATATATATAAAATAATAAGATATATATATAAATATATGCATTCTTTTCCAGTAACTATTTAAATCCACATGTCGAAAAAAAATTAATGACCTCTTAGTATTTTATATATCTTAAACGATTGTGATACAGGTACGTTGGAAGATCTCAACGAAGCGGCTCCAATTTAAAGCGGCTAAAATATTTGCATTGAATTTTACAGAGTATTCCAATTACCAGCAGCAGGGGTATAACCAGTACAGCCAGCCACCTCCCACGGCTGGGCAGGATACGTCGTATCCACCCCCTTCGACTGGCGGCAGTAACTACAATCAGTACAGCCAGCCGCCCCCGAACGCCGGTACCAACTACGGCAATTACAACAGCTACAGTTCTAACAGCGGTCAGGATTACAATCAGTCGCAGAGCGGCCAAGGCAGTTACGGCGGTCAAAATAGCTACGGAGGCGGCGGCAGTGGCGACGGCGGTAACAACTACAGCGGGAGCTACGGCAACAGCGGAGGTGGCAGTGGGGGATATAATCGCAACTCCGGTTCTTACAGCGGAGGTTCATAGCTTCTTCTCTTTATAATTAAAGCCTCCGATTTCTGCGTCTTGTTTTTTTTTTAATTTTTTTTTCTTACGCTTCCTCATTGCTTCTATAATCAGTTATTTAATCAAAAATTTAATTTTTACAACTAAATTATTTTTAATAATCTCTCTCTCTCTATTTCATCTCTTTTGCAGATCATACTTATACTTATCATGTATGTGTTTCAGGCCAAGGAGGTGGCGGTGGCGGCGGTAGATACGGCGACCGCGGCGGTTACGGAGATCGCTCCGGCGGTGGTTACAAGTAAGTTCATTTTCTAAAATCTCTTAATATACATAATATGAGGCGATAACCGGAGCGACGGACTCCGGTGTGTTAAAATTAAAATCAACAGCCACCGCATTCAGTAAGCGTTCTTTGTCGAAGCAAAATCAAAAAAGGTAATGCAATACTCTTAACGCCAGTAAATGGAAAAAAAACTCTTGTTGAAAATCATCATTACGAAAATCGGTTTTATGCCCGACCGGGCGTTAATATGTTTGAAGTATGCCTACAGGTTTAACAGACAGATATAACTGAGGTAAAGAGAAGGTAAAGAAAACAGTATATTGACAATTGACGTAAAAAAGGCTGTAATGTCGACACTATTCGCTGCTTCTGAAATATCAGCAAACACATAACATACATACATACATTCATGCATACATACATACGTTCATGTACACGACGTATAACGTATATTGTGTGGCAGCTAAATGCAAAGGTTTTAAAGTAGATTAAGACTTGACAAAGCGATTGATGTCGCCACTGGGGCCACTGTTGTATTATCTCCAATATCAGGTGTATTATCATATACGATTAGGCAACTAAGGTATTTAAAGTCTATCGTAAGAGATTACAGACACATATTGCCTTATCTGATCGCTATTATATATGTATTTAAAAAAGAAAAACAAGATTTTCGAGAAAGAGAGAGAGAGAGAGAAAGAGAGAGAAAAAGGTGGAACATTGTGTGGTGTATATATTGTATATTAATCCGTATGTCATTTGCCTTCAAGCGATACATGGCTTTACTGTGCGTATCGTCGCTTCTAGCATTGGTATTATTTAAACAGGTATTATACATATTTTCCGAAAGATATTACCATTTTATCTTTTCTATCACGAATGCAAAAATTGAATGGCAAAGTACGTCGTATTGTGCTGTGCATTTATAAATTTCCAAATGTCCCAAAATTGCAACGGAATCAACGGAGCGATTGTTGCAGCGGATGCTTTAATAAAATTTTTCTTTCCGGCAAAGAGTCGCTTTAAATCGCCAACGCAAGTAATCTCTTACCTTTTTTTTTGTTTGAAAAATGACGGAATATATGTGTGTATATATATATATATATATATATATACACACATATACATGTCAAACTAGAACCTAGGCATGTTTTTATCGAGATTTGTCTTTCCCTCGAGACTCATGTTACGTCGAATCAATCAAAAAAGAAGGATAAAACAATTATGCTCCGATTTAGCTCTCTCGATTTAATCGTTTGTCTCACGTCGTTTCTCTCACATTATTATAAAGCTATCTAAAAAAAAAAAAAAAACTGCATGCTAAACGAGACTTGACGGACGTGATTTAACGGCGGGTACGAAACGGTTAATAATATGTAAATCATGATGTGGTGTGACTGTACACAGACAATTTAGACAAATAGGTACATCAGTCAAGAAGAAAAGGTGGCGAGCGGCATACATACGATTCGCCATACATCGATCGATCGATCACAGTCTCCATGAGTCAACTCATTGGTATATCTGCTTCTGTGTTTTAGCAGTGGCGGTGGCCGAGGTGGTTATAACAAAGGTAAATGCACCAGACTGTTTGTACTAGTCTGGTGCTAAATATTCTAGCTTTCACTCTACTATTTACGATCTTAAATACTCGGTTACTCGGTGTTATATGAAAGGGCTGCTATGCAACATTGTTAGGGTAGCGTAAGAGTTAAAAAAAAAAAGTATGCGTGCGACATATCTGCTCAATGGCAATCTCTAATCGATTGACATGATACTCGCACGGGCGCGTTCTCGTTGAGAACGGAGGCGAATGAAAATACGAAATACCGTATATCGCGTTCTGCCTGTAGATGTATCGTTTAAAAAAAAAAATCAAATGCACTTACGATCACCAATTGCTTTTTTTGATCCTACGAACGAATCTCTGGCGCACGGATGTCGCTTTCCCAAAAGCGAGACTTTCTTTTTTTTTTTCCTAACAAGAGTAAGACATCCCCGTGCGCCTTCCAAAATTAGATCTTCCGTACGTTTCCGTGAGACTATCGTTATCCAACCGATTTCCGCACTGTGCGTGTCACTCGGTGATGTCGTGCAGTGGGAAAGTTTATTTTGGGAAGTCCCTTAAAAGGTCGAAAGGTTCGTAAAAAAAAAGGTACAGAAAAAAAAGGACATTGCGAGTGGACTTTACGTTCTCATTTCGCGTGATGTAGCGACAATAGAGATACGATGTGGTCGTGATTGATTTTTGGTATGGTCGATACATTTTCAAATGCATATAAAATAAACGAGCGCGAGAAGAGTAAATAAAAGGCAGCTGGTGAGCTATATACTTGCCGATTCTGTGATTAAATGTCAAGGGTAAGAAATAATGTTGCAGCCCTTTTGTATGTTCAGCTGCAACCCTGTGTTCTATATGTATCGTTAGGTGTTAATATGGGAATACTAGACCGCTACTAATGCATTACGTTTTTTTTTATTTTTTTATTTTTATTACCAAATAACGAAAGGAGATTACGATGTATACTGCAAACGTAATTCGCCATTCGAGGTACGGAAATTGTGCAGAAAAATGGGTACCCTAAAGCGAGAAGTTGTTGTAACCAACATAATTGCGTTTTCTTTTAAGACCTCGTGAACAAAAAAATAAGTGGGAAAAAACATGCGTAATGTGTAGTCAATAATTAATGCTAAATATGCTGAGTGATAACGTTACAAGGATATACGTAGATGTGTGTACAGGTTTAGTTGTTAAAAAATATATATGTATATACTTATATAAGCCTTCTATAAAATACGCTACAAGAGAGAAAACAACGTCTCTTGCTCTTGCTGGTATATACGATTTATTATTTGTAGAAACTCTAAACGTTGAAAACTGGTCGTCCGTTTTCCGCTTCTGCTCGTGTTTATAAAAATAAAAATAAGAAAAACGACAGGAAGTCGTTCGCAATCGAGATCGTAGAGGCTATATTAAAAAATGTGTGGTAACTAACATCTCGGAAATAAACGGCCGTATTATTTCTTAACTGAGAGAACTCTGTCGTTGTGTCATCGGGAAATATATACGATAATTTTGAAATATACATGATTCCAATTTTTACTGAGAAGTGACGAATCCGAGAAAGTTATACGGACAGTGTTTCCAAGCTTCTGCTGCGCGGTCAGAGTGAGTCAGAGAAAGTACAGAGAGATGCGCAATCCCGAAACACTTTCCTTATATCTTTTTAGATTAGAACGAAGTAAAGTAGTAGGGTCGGTAGATAACGCGAATATTTTTTTTTTCTACTGCCTTACGACGTTCTGTACGATGAATCATAACTTTCGGTCCATTGCAGGGGGCTACAGTGACCGTAACAGCGGTGGCGGTGAAGGAATGGTTACGCAAGAGGATACTATTTTTGTATCCGGTATGGATCCATCGATCTCCGAGGAAGAGATTTGTCAGCATTTCGGAGCGATTGGCATTATTAAGGTACGTGGTCTTTCATATAGACTTAGAATAGAATTTATTCTCCTCGGCAATAGTCTATATGTAGAGCAGTACTTATTATATATCACGTATATCTATGTTTGGAGCTCTAATCTAATCTCAATTCTTTAATGTTATCTCCAATAAAATGCCGAGAATGTTTGAAATTAAATACGCGAAGTTATAACACCGATATAATGAGATCCAGAGGTCGGTCGTATTTAAAATAACATTAATTTTAAAATATGTATTTTAAATAACAAAAAGTAAAAGAGTTATTTAGTATTTATTATTTTAAATAGCTTCTTCTAATCTATTTTATATTTTAAATACGTTTTTGGAATTTATTTTATATTTTTTATTTTAAATAAGTCATGTTTTTGGAATCTATTTCATATTTGTTATTTTAAATAAGTTATATCAGTTTTACCGACTTCTGCTTATCAGGGATCGGTCGTATTTAAAAAAGCATTATTTTATATTTATAATATGTATTTTAAATAAGAAAAAGTAAAAAAATTATTTAGAACTTATTATTCTAAATAATTTCTTCTGATCTATTTCTTATTTAATATTTTAAATATATTTTTGAAATCTATTTTATATTTTTCATTTTAAATAAGTCGTATCAGATTTTTATTGACCCCTGCGATCTTTTATTTTAAATAAGTTTCTGGAATCTATTTTGTATTTGTTATTTTAAATAAGTTGTATCAGTTATTTTACCGACCCCTGATGAGATCAGATCGCATTTAAATGTTCAACGAAAATTTACGTAATGCTTGCAGCATGACAAACGCACGGGCAAGCCGAAGATTTGGATGTACAAAGACAAGAACACAGGAAAGTCGAAGGGCGAGGCGACGGTCACGTATGACGATCAGAACGCCGCGCGCTCGGCTATCAGCTGGTTCGACGGCAAGGACTTCAAGGGCAGCACGATAAAGGTGCAGATGGCCCAGCACAAGAGTAGCTGGCAGAGTAATCGCATAGGCGGCGGCCGCGGGGGCGGTGGCCGAGGCCGAGGTGGCAGTTTCGGCGGTCGTGGCGGTGGCGGCGATCGTGACGATCATCATCGCGGAGGCGGTGGCGACGACCGGCGTGACGGTGGCGGCCGTGGAGGCGATTGGAGGTGAATACGAAATTATATCACGAGAAGAATAAATTTATCTTCATGTCCGATTATATATACGTATATTAGCATATTATTTAATTAAAATGGACATGCTTGATAAAGGAAGGTTGAGGTAACAAAGCGACTAAAGAGAATCTTGAAACAGGTGTCCCAATCCCGATTGCGGCAACACGAATTTCGCCTGGCGGGATCAGTGCAATCTCTGCAAGAGCGCGAAACCGGAAGGCCTTGGCGGCGGTGGCGGCGGTAGCGGCGGCGGCGGTTACGGCGGCGGCAGAGGGGGTGGCGGCCGAGGCGGCGATCGCGGAAGCCGCGGGGGTTTCCGGAGCGATCGTGGCGGACGTGGAGGTGACAGAGGTGGCAGAGGCGGCGGCGGTTTCCGCGGTGGGGACCGGGGCGGCCGCGGTGGACGAGGCGGTCCCATGAGGGGCGGCGGGTAGGTTCTTCATATTTCATGCATGATCCTCGAACTCTCTTCGCGAACTTCTACTTTCTTTTCTATATGCCGCGGAGGCGCGAAAAGTTAACGTCGAACGAACTTTGTATTTTTACACAGTGAATATCGATCAAGGAACACGTAACAATTTTTTTTTTCGCGCTCTGTTTCAGCCGAGGCGACAGGGACAGGGACCGTCAGCGACCGTATTAAATATATCATATTCTTAAAGAAATACTACCGGCCTGTTCGGCCCACCGTCATTATAAAACCTGTACACATATTGTACACACTTTCAGCGCTTGTACATTTCGCAGAGTGGAAAAAAAATCACTCTTTTATTCTACACACGTGGCATATGTATTTCTTACTGTCTTTCTTTTCGCGTGATCTTTTTTTATATTCATCTGAAATAGCATAACATATGTATTGTTACGTTCATATTGAAATCAAATATTCAAATAGACAACAATAGACAAGAAACCTTAAATGTGTGAACGTACGATCGGCTCTCATTTTAATTACCCGCCATCCCACTGTGAGATTTATTGCGAAATAAAGAGAATGAGAAATTTGGGAAAATTCATTTATTGAAAGTTGAAAATATAATACACAGCTAATTTATATTACATTATATATATATTATATATATGTGTGTGTATACAAATTTGATGGAGAATTATAACCCAAAGACATGACCAAAATAAATTACACGGCCCCGTCTTCGTCTGTAATCGGACGCAAGAGAAGCCAATGTCATTTATAGTAAACAAACTGTATTTAACATTTTCCTCAATTTTTTTTTCAATATAGTAAATATATTTATATAGTAATCGCGTTCGCTAAGAGATGTTATGCATAATATACGTTTATGACGTGGTGTATATCGGTATTTATATAATTTTTTTCCCGGTATGTATATGTACACAGATATACCTAGGTATGGATAGATTACATGAAGACCTCTAGTTTATGGATTTACTTGAACGCACCGCAATTACCCGTCTTGTTTATGCTCGCTCAATCCTTACGCTTGCGTGAGTCCTTGGACAGTTCCTGAAATCGGGAAAAATTCAAATAATTAAGATATTTATAATATATTTTCAAAATTATTCATTAATTATATTTTTAGCAGCAACTTAATTTTTCAAAGAATTGTTTCTCCAACGAAATATACATCCAAATATATATCTTAAAAATTGAGATCTAAAATATAACTCCAACATATGTAAAAGAGCGAACTAAAGATCGCTTTTTTTTTCTGCACTTAAGTGCTCTTTTCCTGTATCATCAGAGATATCTCTATATCTCCCTTATTATGCCATACCTCGACTTTTATTTCAACGCTGTAACGCCCCGATCGATCTTTTAATCTACTTAGTGTCGACGCAAAACGAGTTCGTAAACACCGATAACGCGGCCGTTATCGATTCACTTTTTCTAATTTGTACTATTTGTTTCTGCTCGAGAGTTATTTTAAACCGATGAAAGTATGCTGTATCCTAAGTAATCAATTGCCGTGAAAATTAAAGGGGGTGATCTGCCCAAAATTTCCTCCCAGCGAAAAGTAACGCGGCAAATTCTAAGAGACGTCTCTGCGAAAGAAGCGAAATTAATTGGTCAGGGCGATTTACCTTTTGCGTAAGTATCACAAGGAGGTGTCGGAAAACGCCTACGAAGTCGATGAACAGATCCAAGGAGTGCATGATGAAGTCCCTGCTGCCCATGTGGAACTTCTCGACGATCAGTTGCGTGTCGTAAATAACGAAGCCGCAAATTACGAAAAAGCCCACGTACAGGTGCGCCTGGTAGATGAGGGTCGAGCGCAGGAACAGATTGGCGAGGGAGAACAGGATCATGACGTTCAGCATGCTCATCAAGGTGCCACCGAGATACAGCCAACGGCCGCGTGCGGCCAAGAGTGCGGAAATGCTAAAGGAAACGAAGATGACCGTTGTACCTGTGAAAACATTTCATTGCACAATTATCGTACATCGTATCGGCGTCGACGTAGCAGTACGTGTCTTTATTCTATCTGACATATATACATGGTTAGACATCATCGATCAATATTTTTAATGGGTTAATGGGTTATAACGGTTCTTAATGGACAATATTCTTAATGGGTTATTTAATGAATCTTATCACCTTTTCAACAAAAAAAAAATATTTTACGCAGGAATACAAAATGTTTTATACGGAAATTAAACACACAGAATTGAATTGTACAGAAATTCTTAATTCAACGATTTCTTTTTTCCGAGACTCTCTCGCGCGCGTAAAACGTAGTGGACTTTGGTGAAATCAATCAAATTTACTTGAACTTTGGACCAAGTCGGTCAACTTTAAATCAACTTAATTTAATTTAATCGATTGTGGACAGCGCCTTATCTCAAGACGAACGGACAAAATGCACAGAACAGCGCGAAATGGATAAACCAACAGGGTTTGGCTCACCGACTAGCGCCGTCACCACAATACTCGGGTCTATGCTGACAACCAATTCGAGCAGGGGCCCCAAACCAAGACCGGACAGGAATGCGAAACCCAGGAGGTAGCCGAGACGCAGATTCTGATTTTTGCCATTGTCGGGCGTTGTCATCAGCGCGATGAGGAGGCCCAGGGTGCCGAGGGTCGTCAGCAGATTGGCCTGCAGGAACTGCGTGTACATGTGCACGTAGGCCCCGACGGCCGCCGACACGGTGGACAGGGACAGGCAACAGTAGACATTCTTCAGGTGTTGCCTGACCGGCGCATTTCTGCAAATAATTATTGTCTATATTATTATAACGCGGCTTTCAGAATTGATCCCGTGCGGTATCAATTATTTATTATTTAAGCTATCGCTAAATGAATCATGCTGCAGAAGAAAATATCTATAGCAGAGTTGCCAGTGCATCCTCCGCACAAAGACATTTGTGAGTCGCGAAGATTGAGTTTCATATAAGAGATTCGTATATCAAAACTATTATCGGAACCCGAAGACAAATCTTTCACTCGACTATCTATTTCTGTAAATAGCGTGATGCAATTTTCTCTCCTGATCGCCCGATCGTCTCTACGTTTCGCCCCGCATGCAGATCCCGATCTCGAACACATTTCATTATACGCAGTTACGTCAAACAAGTAAAACTCGTTTTTTTTTTAAGACGATCTCTTTTATCTTGCCTGGAAAGTTGATCCAAGGCCATTCGCAGGATATTTATATCGTCGCAGTATTTAATTATAAAAAAAAATGTTCCAGTCGCGCGCAGCGTCGCCTCATTGATGATGCCAATCGTTAATGGTATTTTAAAACTAAGGGCTGCTACACGATCAACCTGTGATTAACTCAATCTCGGCAGAACCGCCTAAAAAAATGTCCACACAACTCGTTGTCTCTAATTTAATCTTTTTATCTAATATGTCCAATCAATGAAAAATCAATTATTCTATCCGTATATTGACTCGTCTATAATTTAATCTTTTTATCTATAAATATGTCAAATCAATGAAAAATCAATTATTCTATCCGTATTAACGGAACTACAAATATCGTCTGATAAGTCAATAAGTCGATAATTGGAATCAAAGTCATCCTTAAATGACGAGAACGTCTCTTGTTTACAACATTGTTATCGTCACAAATAGACTCTTACAAAGTAGACAATGGAACAAGGTAAAATGTGAAGAACCGACTCGAGTGGATAATATTCTAGCGACTGGAAACGCTTGTGTCATTCCTCTCCTCTTTTTTTTTGTTTTTCATACGTTTTTTTTTTCCAAAGTGCTCATGTATAATATTTTCTCTCGTCTCCATAGAAAGTTCCTTTCTCAAAAGTTTCTTTTCATCCCTCCCTTCTCGACGGTCCAATTTAGGGCGACGGAACTCCGTCTAACTTGAATCTACGATTCGTTCAGCCCGTAGACGTTCGTTTTTCTATGCGAATCAATTTTAATTTCTATTCATTTTTTTCTCTTTTTCTAGTTCTAGGAATTCGCGAAAAAGGTGTGGAGAGCAAATCGAGTCGAAGCTAAAGTTAATCTATATTTTGGTAGAAATCGGACGAGGATCGTCCGAGGCGACGTCTCCCTGTGTGTGTACAACAATTCGAGCTCCCGAAACCGAACTTTTTTTTTCCTCCGTCACGTTAAACAACAAAAAATCAATAATTTCGTCTACGCGTTAAGCGGAGCCAGCGCGGGTATCGCTCGATAAGCGCGAATCGTCGATTAAATAATCGGAGTTCGGTCGAAGTCAGGAGTTCTTGCCTTCGCGCGTAAGTGCAAGAAGCGCGACGCAGCACGGCTAAAAACAACACGTATGGATCTGGAAAAAAAACGCCGTATATACAGGGTGTCCCAACTGGTATGTCGCTTAAACCTTCACGTTGGAGGGGAGCACGAGGAGGATGAGGAGGAGGAGGAGGAGGGAGGGGAATTGCAATCGGCTCTCTCCCATCGAGGAAGTCGTCGGCCGCCTCGTCGTCGACGACAGCCGACGCGAGATCTCGACCCGAAGAAATGTCATACTTTCGGTGCCTCCTTCGCTTTCACCGCAAGTAACATGTAGTCGGGCACGCGCGACGCAACTACGTCGCGTTATCTATATACGACGTCCGTCGTCATCATTCCAGACACCTACCGAATCTACCTGTGTGCGAAGGTCACGGGGGCTATCGCGCACGAATGCCTAATGACAAGCGTTATCGGGAATGGCGCTTTTCTTCACGAGGACGCGGAAGTGAAGAAATAAGCAGGGAAGTGAAAGGGGAAGATGGATCGCTCCCGTGATCGCGAAATTGCGTCACGGGACCGTGAGGCGCTCTCGCATCCGAGAGGGAGAGAGGAGCGAATATCGCGTAAACATATTCCTCGCACTTCCCCGATTACGCGACCCCCGTCGTCCGTCGCGAGAGCGGAATACTCACAGCGTGCTGCTGAATGAATTGAAGAATGCGTTCAGGTTGGCCGTTGCCATAATTTTGGCCGTCGCTCGGACTCGCGCTGGCGGACTCGGAAAGCTCGGGGCGTTGGGGCTCTCGCTCACTCCTGCTTGCACCACTGACAAGACGATCGACGGCGCGTCGCACGGGACGTTCCGCTCGCTCGTAAAGCCGAATGACTGGCGATATTGCCCCGGCTAATATAATTCGATGCGCGCGGGGAGACGAGGATTATCGGAGCGAGGCGAGCACAGTCGACGAATTGCACGCACGTACGTAGCCCGACGAGCCGATCCTCGAGCAGGGACACGTCAGTGATGTTCCTACGCGTAACAGAATAGACGGCCGACGGGGCAGACGAGGATAGGAGAGAACGGACGCGTCCGATTGGCCATGCGCGCCGTCGCCCCGCTCACTCTCTCTCTCTCTCCCTCTTCGCTGCTCCGTTCCTCCTGTCACACGAACGCGCGGCGGCGCCGCCAGCAGCCGCCAGATAGAGGCAGTCTCGACCGCGTTATACACGTTGTCCCGAAAGCACCGAACGTGCCTTCTCGAAGTGAAAATTATTTACGGCAATTAAAGATTGATATACAGTTTCGTGTAAACCGTCAACCAGTAATTTAATCTTTTTTTTTTAATGTACTAACAAAAATTTAATCATTCTCTATTAATGGCAGTGAAATGATACAGATATGACTAATCACTAATTGTAAGTTGGGTATTGATTTTAAATTATTCGGCGAGTTGAAGTTTGAAGTTGATCACCTTCAATCTTGCGTATAAAGAATATCGAAAGATGTAATCGAGATTCTACTATCAATGGCTATTCCTTATCGCTTTCCCGTAATTTCTCTGCAACCTCTTTTTGTCTTTTTTTTAATATTCTATTTTGCGATTTTCTCACCTTGCGTTCAGCCTCAGCAAAAACTCGACTCCCTGTATTCAAATGTATTGTCGATAATTCGAGTATACTTTACTAGTATAGTATTGCACACACTACGTTGTGTACCTCTTTTTAAGTAAATTAATATGTAATAATATTTATGTAATCATAAATCAAACAGCATCATAACTTCCAGAAATACGATTGTTATATTAATATATTAAATATATGTAAACATATATATATATATAAACTAAATAAAAAGAAACATTCCTGCAATGTACGGAGACAATATTAATCATAACAAACATTTTTAAATTTTTATACTTTTCCTCTAACTTTATAATTATTTGCAACTTATAAAATACTATGTTCCTCTTTTCCTCTCTCTCTCTCTCTCTCTTGCCTCATCGGTTTCTAGCTCCCAGTACCGTACAACCTATCAAAACACTCTTCAACGTCCGTTCAACGTATATATTCAAAAATTACAATACAACCGTAAACCAACTTACGTAGTTCACGCTACCGATTATTTTCAGCTGATAAAAAAAGATCAATCGTAACTAGAATACGCAGCTCCCCCCTTTGATACGTACGCGATACTGTCCCTCCTATACACGCCGCTATGTAAAGCTATTGACACAGTTATCCAGTAGAATTTATTATAATCGTGAAACGACTAATACGAATGCCTTGAACGCGCTATATATATATATATATATATATAAATATATAACTCCCATCGCAATAATATCAAATATCGCGTTTAATTAAGCAACAACTTTTAAGACGGAGGGCACTGTATTCTTGCAACGTCTCGGCCTTCCGACTGATCGCTGTCCTCGGACGAGCTGTCCATCGAGGAGTTGTCGAAGTGATAGTCATCGTCGTTCTCCTCTTCCCGATTCGGATCCTCGAGTCCGTAACGCGTGTAAAGATTCTAAGATGAGAAACACGGTAGAATGGTTAATTTAACACGTCGACGAAAAATGCCCGCGACATGTATATTACTTACACGTACTCTTTCTCGATGACGGATATGTCGCAGTAAAATCCAAAGTAATTGGCCGTCGAATGAATCAGGCACGTTTTCTTGCTTCCTGTTCCTCGCATTGGACTTGACACACTGAAAAAAAAAAATAATAATAAAGGGAACACATGTACGTTAATCTTTTAGTCTATTGCATTTATAGCTGTATCGCCTATTTTAGGGAAACGCGATATTAAAAATTATTATCAAGTGTTCTGATAAAGCAATAAGAGAGACGCTTATAAAAAGAAAGATTATAGAAAGACGATTATATAGATTTCTTTTTGTCTATACGTACATGGGCGAAGGAACTCATTTGAGGAGGTTGCGCGGACTTAGGCACCCATATCTTAACATCGTAATCCAATCCGCTTGTCGCGAGAATGGGAATATGCGGGTGTCCCTCCAAGCAATTTACCTGCAAATTAAATGAAAAGACAAACCGTTATTTTTTCTCACCAACATTGCGAAAGAGAAAGATTTGCTTATCGGATTTACGAAGTGGGGAAACTCACAACTCCCTGCCTGTCCCCTTGCATCCACTGTACAACAGCTTCCGTATTTTTGTCCCAAATGAATATATTGCCGCAATCGGATCCAGATACAACATACTCGCTTTTAGGTCCGAAGAAATTGACTCCCTTCACTACAATCAAGCGACAGATGGCAATGTAATAGCAAATATTAATAAATCCAAAATTTAAGGCAACGCTTGCCAACTAATATTCGAATTTCAAAAGAAATATATAGAAATATTTTTAGAGAGAAATCTTAGCACGAAAATTAATTGAGAAAAGTGTATCATTGAATTCTGTTTTTGCACGTGTTAGTTTTTCTCTGTTAAAACGTTGTTAATTTTTCTCGTGCATAAAAAGAAAAAAGAGGTCGTAAGAATTAAAAGGATCTAAGAGTCGAGAGTATATAAAACGCAATCATGTGATTGCGTTTCATGTGTGACGTACCGGTCGCACTATTCCTGTGGCCCTGATATCTATGGGCGTAATCTACGTGTGACGACATTAATCTGTCAAATAGGTATATGTCCTCGTCATTATACGAGGCGAGAATCTCTGTTCCGTTGTGATTATATACAGCACAGGTTACATGCGCGTGCTTATTCCCGGTCTGAAACATTTAAATTATACATTACATATGTAAAGTTAAATACATTTAAAAAAAAAACGAACTACACAGGATTGCGATAAGACATACCAGATGATCGGGGCACAACTTGTAAAGCGGCGTCGAGACTTTTCGCCGATCGTACACTCTCACATAATGGGAACGGCCGCCGACGCAAAATTCATTGCTATTAAAAGGATTAGAATGTATACTGAATAGCTGCACCTCTGACGAACCTTCCTTTACTACAAGTAACCTGTGTGAAGGAAAAGTCTATATATATAGGTATATATATTGTACAAAAAATTAACATATGTAGATTATAAGGGTTGTAAAACACAAGGAATAGAAAAAATGTGAATAAATATTTAAACTTTTTAATCGCAACTCACTTGTTTGGTTTGCTCTCTCGGATATCTATGGAGAACACCCTCGCATCCTCTCCAGCGGAAAAGACCACGTGAGGTGTCTCGGGATGCACAGCCAATTTATGCGACGGTCCACGATGTGCCGCCAATTTCTTCGACGTGTCGTGTTTAAGATCCAACAGACGTACCTGACCATCCCTCGCACATGTGACCATAAGATATTCCATGTCTAATGGCAACCATTTGGCCTAAACGATTAAGTAAGAAAGATTGATTAGAAAAAGAAAAATGCACATTAACCTCCAAATAATTATTGTAAAATATTCAAATGCCCGCCGTGTTGTCGATAATTCGAATATACTCTATCTACTAGTATAATACTACACACACTACGTTGTGTATCTCTTTTTAAATAAATTAATATGTAATAATATTTATGTAATCATAAATCAAACAGCATCATAACTTCCAGAAGTAGGATTGTTATATTAATATATTAAATATACGTAAATATATATATATATATATATAAACTAAATAAAAAAGAAACAATCCTACAATATACGGAGATAATATTAATCATAACATTTGTAAATTTTATGCTTTTCCTCTAACTTTATAATCATTTGCAACTTATAAGATACTATGTTTCTCTTTTTCTCTCTTTCTTGCCTAACTCCCTAGTATCGTACAACCTATCAAAACACTCTTCGTGTCCGTTCAATGTATGTATTCAAAAATTACAATACAACCGTAAACCAATTTATGTAGTTCACGCTACCGATTACTTTCAGCTAATCGAAATGCTTTAATTATGAATATTATACGTACTTGAAACATATTGCTTGTATGACCACTCATAAACCAGTGGCGCTTTTTCCCTACGGCCCAGTCCCAAATAACAACTGCTAAATCATCAGAGGCACTCGCTAATAAATTTCCTTTTTGATTGAAATTTAAGGCATTTACGCAACCCTGTAAATAACAATCGAATGTTAATACACAAATTTTCGTAACGATGTACAGCGTTTACAAGACGAACAATTTACCTGATGCTCGTTAAGCTTGTACATAATGTCGAGCCGCTCCACTGCATGCAGAGAACCGTAGAATCTTCTTTGAAATAACGGATTACTGCCTATTTGACGATTTATCACTTCGGGTACAATGCACCAATTAGGAGGCGGTTTCTCTATTTTTAGGCAATGAGGTACCTCCTCTTCCTCATCCTCGTATTCCTCCTCTTCGTCCCATTCATCCTCGTTAGCGGCTCTCCATTCGTTCGAGTCACCTGTTCGAAATTCATCAGATCTCTACATTTCACCAAACAGGCAGGGAAAACATTTTTTTTTTATGTATAAAATACCTCTCTCGTCTTTGTATCGATCAGAGTCGTCATTAGGGGTTTCCGATCCCGCTCTGCGAGCCTCTGAACCTCTATTTGACGATTCGTTCTGAGCTGACTCGTTTCTAGTGCTGGCAGATGCAACGTTTCCTAAAATTATATTATTTATATACATATATATATAATTATTTACACAGAAATATATTTATTTATTACCTTATGCATTATTCAACAAGACTTTTTATAATTACAAATTACAAAATTATAAATAATAAGGATTATATACCATCGTTATATAAAACTACTGAAAAAACAAATTATTACCTTCATCCGCGTCAGCGATGGGAGCCTCCCTTGTTGCCTCATTAGACAGGACGTTCCCAGAGCAGCTGTCCTCATTATCGCTCATTATGTTTCGCCTCTTACGATAATTTCGCTGCTTCGCTTTTGATTTGTTTCTTTGAAACGTTACCGTATCGTCACTTGCGCTCCCAGCACTGGCGTTGCGCGCACTTTTATTCAATTTCTGCCGCTTACTCAAATCCTCGTCCGAGCTATCGTCCGACTTTTCTATCGACGCGCCACTGCCGATCTGACCTTTCGAGATACTTCTCTTGACCTTATTCTGATCAGCGTGCAACGCGTTTGCTTCGTTGGCGTAAGAAGAAGACGGACTGTTGTCCTGCGAGGTAGTCGCCTCCGACAAGTCGACCGAATTACAACTGGTGGCGTACAGGATTTCCTTCAGCACGTCGTTAGTTTTGTCACATTTATCAGCTGTTGTCTTAATCTCGTCCTCCGCAGAGAGCTCCATAGGCTCGCTCGTCTGTTCATGTTGCGCAGCATCACGAGCGAGATCGTTATCAAGTCCGACTACATGACTAGCGTCTTTCGAAGCGACACTGCCCTCGGATGTAACACTAGAACTATTTACATTCATCGAGATGTCTGGATCTTCCAGTGAGCTCGACCGCACCTTCGTAGACTCCTCGGGATCCTTGGTGTCAGGAAGTTTCATCTCGGAATCATTACTGTTATCATGGATCAGACTTTCAGAGTCCATTTTATTTTCAAGACCTCAGATGAATTCTCTTTCGTTTGTCCGAACTGCCAGCAATCATTCCTTCAAATAGGCACACTGTGCAGTTGCATCGGCAACATATCTAAGGTTTATCTGAAAAGTGAAATAGATTGATTCAATAAATAGTAAATATCGTACGTTAGAGTAAAAAAAAATCAGAAAAAGAGATTCTTGACCATCCAAAACTAATATCTTTCCAAAACTCTGCTCTTTAAATGAGCAACTTAATATCCAAAATACATCAAGGTGATTAAAAAATTAGGAACTTGTATAACAGTACTGTTTGTCTCATAATAATATTAAACCAGTTTCAAATCTATCCACACTTTATACATTACTTTAAAATATTTAAATAAACTTTATCAAGGCAAAGGTTATAATTAATAATCCATCAACATAAATTTTGATATCCTTCAAAAGTTATATTGATAATCCAAGATAATGCAGAGCAATTAAAAATAATAATAAAAGATATCCTAACACAGCAGTCCTAGCTTTTAATTATACAAATACAACCTTGGATATTAAGATACAAAACTGATTTATTTCAACTCGACAAACGTATATCAAGATCATTTCTACAAAAGCTTTACATAAGCTTTACATATCGCTGCTTTGACATTTCCAGAAGGAGAAACATTCTTGTTATGATAACTTTACAAAGTCAAAAACCGAATTTAAAGTAAACTTTTAAGTCGACGCTTTAACATTTCAGATAAAACATTTTTTATCATAAGTTTTTGTTTTTGAAGACGAAACTGAATTTATTGTAACTGTCTTTCCAGGTCATAACCTCCCCCCCC